GACATATGGCCTAACCGCTTATACTAATAAAGTGCCAAGGGCCTAAGTGGTCACCTTAATATTAAAAAAAAAAAAAAGATTACAGTATTATAGTTTTATTTTAAATATTAAAAAAAAAAAGATTACAATATTATAGTTTTATTTTAAATATTATAGTAAAAAGAAAAAAAAATTATAGAATTATGGTTTTTTCTTAAATATTAAAAAAAAAATGGTTTTACTATAAAATCCCAAAAGCCATTTTCCCGAAAGGACATAATACTGACTAAATTAGCCAGTATTATAACTAATATCGGCTAACTTTGTCAGGATAGGTCCTTTTGAAAATATGTCTTTTGGGATTTTGTAGTAAAATCAAAAAAAATTACAGTATTATAATTTTATTTTATTTTTTTTTTTTAATATTAAAGGTAAGACTACAATATTATAATTTAAAATATAATACTGTATATATTAAAATATTAATAAAATTCTAGTTTTAAATAAATTTTAACAAAAAAAAATTTATAATTATAAATTTTTTTTATAAAAAAAAACAAATATATATAATAAATATTTTTTTAAAAATAAATTAAAAAAAAATTTTTTAAATTTTTAAAAAATATACAGTATATATACTGTATATATTGTAATTTGATTTTTTTAGTTTAATTAGCTTTATATTATACGTATAGTATATACGTAGTATGTGTATATATAATATATATTCTCTATATATACAATATATAATATATATATATATATATATATATATAGTATATTTATAATTCTTAATAGTAAAACAATAAATTATTATTTGTCTAAAAAGTTTTTTTGTTAAATAATTTTTACAAACAGTAACTATATATATATATATATATACATAACTATATATATACTAATACTAATACATATAAGAAGATTAACATATATTAACCAATTTAGATATGTCCAACCAATAAATTCTATATCGATACGAAAACCTCGGACCAATGGTCCGAAGTTTATAACTAAAATTGGTCTAAACTTGCGTATGTAATACTTTGCTAAAAATATTAGGGATAATTTAAGAATTATTATTTTATTATCTATATAATATCAATACCTTTGTCTGCTTTTTACAGAACGATAAGCAATTAGATTAATTAGCAAAAAAATTATTTAATGCAAAAGAAGACGATTTACATTTTATATACTAATTATGAACATGTTGTGAAATGTAATATAGTAAGCCAATAAGTTATGCAATCCGAATATTACTTTTTTATCTATTAATATATATCAACTTATATCAGAGCAGTCTAGGACATTCGGAATCAAGCATAAATGTATAAATTATTGATACACAAAAGCATCTAATAAAAATAATTTATGATATTGTGTGCACGAGATATTTTTGTTTACGTTACAATTATTAAAACTATTGTCTGGAATATAAATAATAGTAAAAAGATGATTATTAATTTAAAACTAAAGCAGTAAATGATTTATACAGTTTAAAGTATTTTTGTACTGTATATACTTTAGTATTATCCACTTTTGTTCCTCGTTCCTCAGGGTCGTGGAACATGTGGTTCTATCTGTGTTAGTGCCCGTTTTTTTTTAAAGAACAATCCCCAATAAACTGATCCAATTGCTATTTTGTAAAAAAAAGCATAATAACAAGTTCCCCTTTTAGTCATTTTGTTCAACCTAAAAGCACCTTTTTATCCCCACGAACAAGATCATGTCTGGTTTTTCCTTGGTCCTATTAAATCCTCCTGTTCCCCCCGTTGACGGCAACTTAACCCAAGTAGAACTCTTACTTTATAGACCTCTTTACCGCCTGCGGAAAATATTTCTCTCTCAGGTTCCCATTTCATTCTCACATTAAGATCACCAAGGAGCTGTGCAGCCTTGAATCTCCATCGGAGTTTTCATTGAATTGTCCACAACTGAATTCATTTTTATAAAAAATACTTTTTTTTAAAGAAAAAAATAAAGTAAAATGAAAAAGGGCGAATATGATAAAGTTGCAAATGTAGTAAATGTTTTTTTTTAATGATGTAAAAAAAAAGCCAATCTGTATCAAAGAAATATGGCGAGATGGAGAGTCAAGG